GAATTCTCACTAGATAGAGAGAAAAACAATATGAAATTTAGAGAAGGTAGAATCTTTAGCGAAAACAATTATCACAAATTCAGACTAAAATGTGAACAAACTGATTGGAATCATATAACAACTGCTTCAGATCCTATTACCATTTTTTAAGAAATCTTAGCAAATAATAATTTCAACGAATGCTTTCCATTACGAAAACTGAAAATAAAGAATAAAAAGCCTTGGATCTCAACAGGTTTCAAAATTTCTGCTAAGAATCTGAGATGCTTGCGTACAATAAAAAAATTTACATCGAATTTAGGTTTTATGCAGTATTTCAATAGGTGTAGAAAAATTCACCGAAGCTTGATCAAAATATCAAAAAGTAATTACTACTCAAAAAGAATTGAATCATCACAAAATAAACCTAGAGAGAAATGGACAATTATTAATGAATTGTGGGGTAAAGGAAGGTTATCTTCATCAGCAGTGATTAACATTGATCCGAATTCTTTGAATAATTCTTACTGTTTTATTGCCGAACAAATAACAGCCACTATAGTACCTCAACTCAACCCTTTAAGTTATCTTGATCAAATTCAATGTCTTGATAATTTCAACTTAACACCTACAAATGTTTATGAGATAAAACAAACTCTCAAGGAAATAAAAAATGATAAGTCCGCTGGGTTGGATGGTATAACTAGAAGACTCCTTGAGAACCTACCGATAGAAGTTCCATTTGTACTAACTGAGATGATTAACAAATCTTTTGTGACAGGAGTATTTCCCTCAGGGTTGAAGACATCAGTTGTTCTACCTCTCGAACTTCAGACCCACCTCATTATAATCAACTATCTCAAAATTAATCGAAAAGCTAGTGAAGAAAAGATTGTTGAAATTTTTATCAAATGGAAAAATATTGAATGAATGTCAATTTGGCTTCCAAAGCTCTAAAAACACTAATGATGCAATCTTCTTATTTTTGGAAAAAATTTACTTGAATATGAATGAGGGGGAAGCAGTTTCGGCAGTTTTCTGCGATTTTTCGAAAGCCTTCAACTGTGTCAATCATGATATACTTAAAAAAAAAGTACTGTTATGGCATAAGAGGGACAAGTCTTGAATGGTTCAAATCGTACCTAAAGGGTAGATCCCAGCTGACGAAAGTCAATAATGTGTATTCGGACATTTCTGCTATAGATTGCGGGGTGCCTCAGGGATCTGTTTTAGGGCCCATTTTATTCCTATTATACATCAACGATCTTGCTACAGTCGATATTAAGGGTCATTCACAATTTTTGCCGATGATACCACATTGTTATGGCATGAACAAAATGCTAACAATTTAAAGCAAATGATATCATTAGATTTAGAGAAAGTCAAACAATGGTGTGATTCTAATTTACTCTCCTTCAACGTAGACAAGACCAAAATTGTAAACTTCAAATTTAGCTATGACAACTTGCTATTAGATGGTAGGAAGATAGAAGAAACGACTTGCACTAAATTTCTTGGTCTGCATTTTGACAATAACTTAAAATTTAAAGAACATATCACATCTTTATGCACAAAATTGGCTTTAGGATCATTTGCTGTCAGAATTGTCTCCAATGAACTTGATATATTCACTGCTAGATCGATGTGTAATTCAATGTTTATATGAAAGTAGCTGTTTCAGGAGGACTCTCTTTCAGTTTGTGTCTGAAAGTTACTTCTTTGCATTATCTACACATCCATGTATAGAGTTACTTATTTTCAAATTGATTACTTCCTTCCTTTCTTTGGAAGATTCTCTCATCCCTTTTTTTGTATTAGATGGAGTAGTAGAAAGCCAAAAACTTTCTTCTCCAAAAATGTTTTACATACTTTTTAATTTACTGTTTCACTGATTTATATTTTTATTTTTCATCACACTTTGTCAATGAGAATTTATTCTTGGACAATAAAGTATATTTATCTATCTATCTATCTATCTATATTCAAGCAGTTCAAACCGTAACTCGTAGATTTTCGCAATGGCAACCGCTGAGGTGTGAGACAGTGCATTGTCTTGGGGAAACAGGATTTTCTTTTTCTGCAAATGTGGCCGTTTTTCCGCATGTTCTGCCTTCACCTTGTCAAGTAATGATGAGATTGAAATAACTCCATGACTATCCCAAAAAACAGTCGCTATCACTTTCCCAGCAAAAAAACAGTTTTTGCTTTTTTTGGAGCCGGTTTCCCTTTTGCAGTCCACTGTTTGGGCTGTATTTTTGTTTTGGTCGTATAATGATGTATCCAATTTTCATCCACAGTGGTTAATCGACGCCAACAGAGCGTTGGAAATGTTGATTTGAACACGTTTTTGACCTAACGTAGGCAGAATGCCAGTATAGATTCCGAAAAGGTAGAAACACTGAAATGGTGACACTAGATCATAGCAACAAAATAACAACTTTTGAAAAACTAGAGTGTACAGAAATAACTTTTTGTGATCTAAGCAAAGCATTTGATTGTGTGTCACATATAATTCTCTTCAATAAATTAAAACTATATAATTTTTCTGACAACAGTATACAGTTGATCAACTCATACTTGGAAAATCGATTTCAAACTGTAAAAGTGGGCAATTCTCTATCAACAAGAAAAAAAAATACTACTGTTGTACCGCAAGGATCTATTTTGGGACCTCTATTATTCATAATTTTCATTAATGACCTACCATATAGGGAGAAACCGATATCATATATTTTATATGTAGACAATACTACAATCCAAACAAACGCTAAAACAGCATATTTTTTCTTGTATGAATCCACTATTTCTTATGGTATTGTCGCCTGGGGATATGCTACAGACTGTGATAGAATATTCCGACACCAACCGAAAGCAATTAGAATATTAGACAATATCGACTACATTACATTAAAAATACCAACCTTTCCTTGTCTCTATATCACGGAAAATTTAATATACTTGAAAAATAATCTATCTCAATATGAAAGTTTTGAAAATATACACGACCACAACACTAGGCATAAAAATGATTTGAGTACAAACTCTGCCGCTTAAAAAGATGTCAAAATGGACCAAACTTTTGGGCTGTGAAACTTCACAATAAATTACCACAAAAAATAAGATATGCTAATAAAAAACGCCTTCTTCAGCACCAAAGGATTCCTGCACTGTGATATAAGTTCTTTAACCATCTGTCGTTGTTTTATAATACCCAATTTTAAATTTTACTGCTTTGTTTTTAAATGTGCTCGTCGACATAACTCAGATGTACTGTATAAGATATAAATATTTTTTTATAAAAAAACCTTTTTCTTTGAATTGTAAGCATCTATTGTTTATGTAAATAATAATAGATGCCTGACATATGCTAATTTTATTAATATATATGTATTGACTTGTGTAAATACTAATGAATGTATAAAACCCAATAAATTATCTATCTAAATGCGGCACCCAACGCGCGGACCGCTTTCTCATGCCTAAATATTGATGTAATATGTGACGTCTATTTGACATGTTTATAACCTCTGCGGTCGTCTAGTATCATTTGCTGAACTTTGGCGATATTTTCGTCAGTAGTTGCAGTTTTTGGACGTCAAAAATGTTCATATTCTCCCAAACTCTTACCGCCACGTTCAAATTCAGTTGCCCAAAAATTTCACTGTGGTAAATGATGCTGCAGACTCCTCATATACAAAATCCAACTCATCTTTGATTTGCGTAGGTATATTGCTTTTCAAAAACAAATATTTAATGACAGCTTGATACTCGAGTTTGTTCATAATAATTTATTGAACAAAATTACAATTTTGTTCAACTGGCTATCGACCGAAGTCCTTCCGCACGTGTAGTAAAATTGCTTTGAAATAACATGGCTTATTTTACAATAAAAAAAAAATTATATGGATATAAAAAAAAGAAAATATTATTTGGATATAAAAATGAACAAACAAAACTATTTCATTGATAAAGTTGTGTTAATTTTTCTAACAGTGTTTCTGTTGGGTGTCGATGTCGTACTCTTGCATGGGGGTTTCTTGTCACAGCATACTTTCTAATGATTTCTACATTGTCATCTTTTCTAGTAAACTTCTGAGTAAGTGACGGTAGTCTGTCCTCGATAGGGATAATACCAGTGAGTTGGTGCAGCAGAGGGTTTGGAGGGTTGTGTTTGAGGTTATTGGAATGCCTTTATCTTGTTATTTTCCTTATAGCCGTTGTTTCAGATACTTTAAGTGTTTTCAAGGCCCTTTGTTTGATATTGAGAAACAGTGGGTGCGAGTATTCAATAAGTGGACGACAGATTAATTTATATATTCGGCTTGCTGTTGATATGTTTGCACCAGCTCTCGGGTTTGTCAAACTTGTGAAATATGCGGCTCTTGCAATCACTTTCTTTTTTTTGTTATTGACATGGCTGTTGAAATTTAGTCTGGAATCAAGCGTAACACCTAGGTAATCAACTGTCGATTTGGCATGTAAGATATGTTGGAAAACGTTGATTGTTGGAGAAGTTGCGGAATTTCGATGATTAAATATGATGAACTGAGACTTAGATGGGTTTGGCTGGAGCCTCCATTTATTGTTATTTGTTATCGTTGCAAGATGTTCCAAATTGTTAATAACTTTGTCTAGCTTTTAGAGCAGTGTCATCTGCATACTGGAGAATATATGCTTCATGCCTGAAGTGGTTGATATTCCCTTGTTGGTGATGATAAATATCAGAGCTGTATAAGTTATATAACAATGGTGAGAGCGGTGAACCCTGTGGAACTCCCTGTTCTGGGATAAATTCGTCTGAAAAACGAGTTTGTCCATTTTCATAAAAACACTCACATCAAATCACTCAAAAGACTGTTACATAATAACTGCGCGTCCAAAATGAGTGAAACTTTGGTAACAGTCATCAGATGAACAACGAAAATCACTAGCTTCTATCTTCATGTTGAGGTCGGAAACTTTTCAGACCACACAAGTATTATCAAAATGTGTTATCTGATAAGCAGTTTAGAAGTCTTTACCTTTCTCTTCGATAGCTTTTACTCCTACTTTTAACCTCAGCAATAACTGTTTCAGCTAACGTATGGAGAAGATCCTTTCTCATATGCCTATAGAGAGACAGGGTTTCTGCAAATACTGTGTCCGTGTCTACATCGGTAAAGGGACTCTCATCAAAATCAGCTAAAGTAGGACTAGGAGGGTGTTTCGCTGTCTCTAGTTGGCTTTTGTAGTAATACAAATTCAAATAATGCTGAAAAAAATATAAACTTTTTGCCTGATAGTTAACTAGCATGAAACCAGTATACTAGTATTTGTGCCCATTACAAAGAAAGGTAAGCAAAGAGAAAATTGATAAAAAAGTCTTGTAGTTTTTATCCTTACCCTTGTTTATAAAAAATAAATCAGGCAAATTTGTTTTAATAAATACTTACCAACATAGTTCCCCAATCAACTAAGACTTTTTCTATATAGTAAATACTATTAGTGATACTTGGTATCTTAGATTCAATAATGCTTCCCTCTTCTGCATTAACTAGTTGCAATAATCTAACCCTGAAATCGTCCAATAGTTCCAGCTGCAGCTCTAAAAATTGCAGTCTATGACCTGGCTGAGATAAAGATTCATATCTTTCCGTTATAGTTTGCAACAAAGTTATGAAGGCATCAGCGCAGGTGGTTATCTTCAAATCTTCAACATCAGACGTGAGAGGTTCAAATGCATCTAAGGAATTTGGGGGAAGCATGGCATCCATTTTATCGATTGCATCTAAAAAAAAATGATTCTCTATTTTTCGATTTGAATTTTTTATCCTTTCTATAGTGGATAGTCTAACTTAATATAATTATGTTTTCATTCTCCAAAGTTATTCTAGAAACCGTTAATTCTGCAAGTACTAGTTATTTGTTAATCCATTTGAATTTCTACCATATGAATTTGTGCAATGTGTGTGAAGCAAAATTTTAGATTCAAGTTTTATGGAAAAATATTTCCAATGAACTGACTGCAGAATGCAAAAAATAAGTCCTCCAATCCTGTTCAAAAATGCATCACAACTATAATAAGTCACCTTTGAATTATTTTTGAAGTGGAAGTATCCCTGAGTTCTTTAGGTGTGAACTGGGGAATGAAATCGTGCTTCACACAAATACTGAAATCTGCATGAATACCAAATGTTTTGAAGTTTGTATAGACTATAACTTGAAATTTGAAAACTATATATTGCAAATAAATAAAAAGTTGACTTCTGAGTGTTCTGCTGTTAGGCTGGTACCTAGTGAACTGAGATCCTCAGCTGCAAAAGCTGTTTATCATGCCTCGATAGAGTCCCATCTGAGATATGACATTCTAGTCTGAGGATTTGCAAACAAAAGCGTCATGTTTAAAAAATCTGTTTAAAATCTGTTTTTCCGTTAACCAGCTGTCGCACCCCTACGAACGACAACCCTCAGAAGTCGAAACTTGTGCGAGCCAAGGATTAACGAGGTCTTACCTTTAAACGTGTGATTCCTAACACATTCCTAACATCATTTACCTGATAACGTAAGAGATATAAATAATTATAAGGATTTTGAGAAGGCTGCTCAATTTATATTATATGAATAACCTTATTATGGTAAGGAGGAGTTCCACACCGATCATTTAAATTGAACAATTTGTGACATAATTGACTAATACTTGATGAAAATCTATAATTTACTAAGTAAAACTCAACAATTTGTAATATCCCTCAGTTCCACTTTTAAATTTCGACCTGTTAATTCAGAACTTATTGTATACATTTTCAACATTTTCATTTATTTATCTGCAATGTGTATTGTCCTTATACTTACACTACACTTTTACTAATACCTATCATATTTTTTTAAGGACAAAACACAAGTACTACAGGAAAATCCTTAAGGCGCTCTAAGAGCGGTACCTGTGCGAAAGTAGCGATTCACATTGGATTTGAATCGCTGGAAGTTAAATCCATTCGAAAAACGCTATCATTGTACTCACATTTTTTTTCCATGGCAATCCACTTAACAAACACTGGTGCCTGTGTGAGTACAGCTAGAATACTTGGCTGATTTGAAGGATACTCATATGTTTCTCTCAATTCTCTGTCAAAACCAAGCGCTTCATCAATTGAATGAGAAAATGTAAAATCATCAAACTGTAAATTAGGTAAATCAGAATGTAATTTTTCTACCGCCAGTTGTACAAGCCCTCTGATCAACTCTAACTGAAAAATAAAGAATTTGTATTATATTTTTTTTGCTCAATTCCATTGTGATTTCGAAAATTTCTCAAATGGAAATTAACAGGTGATTTTTTTTGTATTTCACCCGTATCTGAAATGATTTTATTGAGAAATACTGATTGCTGCACCCAATGTTTACAACATCTGAAGTTCCTTGAGGATCGCATATAGGCCTAATAATCTTCATTATGGTTATTAACGATGTGGCAGACATACACAGTTATCATTTAATGTTCAGGTGATCATAGGGTAGTTGACGAGTTTGTGATGCAGAATTATTACAGCTAGACTTGAGCAACTTATCTCGTTGGTGTGTTACTGAATAACATTCCCAAGAATTGTGAATCCTATTGAATATTCTCATGAAATCAAAAATATTAATGTGCCTCAGACCAATTACGTTAAGAACTTGGGAGTGTAGTTTAACATTAAGGTAACCTTTAAAGGTCATATTGATCACAACTGAGATTTGTTCCAACGATCTAAATAGAAGTTTTCTGTATTTACTATATTGTTCTTTGGTACGCTCAGTTTTAGAATGTAATCGTGGAATATGGGAGTCCTCTACATCAGACAGAAATTACGAGCAATGAGAAAGTGCAAAACAAGTTTCTGAGGTCATATGCATTTGACCTAGGGCATCAGAGGACTGACTATGAGTACACTGATATTCTACTCTTTTTGAATACACCTACTTCAAAGCAACTTGAAATTTTTGAATAAAACCATAAACGGTAACATTCCATGGTACTAGTTATCATTAAAATGATATTTAATATTTAATATAATCATATTATACAAAAGCACTGTAACAATAGGATTCTCAAAATCAATATACAATTTTTATACAATTTATACAATTGAAGATGATAACAATACAATAAATATGATAAATATGATATGATATATATACATATATACACGTATATATACATACACATATATACCATACATTTTTACTAGGAAATATACTATACATATTATAGTTCAGCAAGTTAATCGAGGATTTGGTTAGCTATACTTATTTCTGATTACATTACTGAGTTTGGCACCTAAGTGATTGAACACTTGTATTGTGCAACTCTATTATATATGCGGATTTCAAATAAGTCTTGTAATATATATCAGTTTTATCCCCAGATTTATATATGGGTGATACAACTGATGATTTAAATTGCACTGGAACGATGTTTGTTTGGAATATGAGATTGAATATGAATCCATTTATTTGATTCATCCATGTTCTCTTTCAGAAGATAGAAGAAACATATCACCCTACTTTAAAGAAACTGCTGATTATTATCAATAATTAATCAATATTCATGTATTTTAGGATTTCTAGATGGTATTCAATTGTATTTTTTTTCTGACATTATTTTTACAATGATAGTATCTGTCCATTTTCCTATTATATATAAACGACATACCAATAAAGACTACCGAGGTTATTCTGATCATTTTGTAGACCTACTAGAAGCCGTTAAAGACTTTGTCGATGTGACAAAATATAAAATGTAGATCAATAACACTGGAGTTTTTTCCCAACACCAAACCGTTATTTTAACACCTCGACACCAAGTAATCATCTTCAAGAGGAAGATTAAACTAAACAATGTTATCCTTATTTATACCATAGATACCTCTTCTAGGTACCTGTGTCTCGAGTGTCTTAAATTAATTTCACAATATTGCCTTATATACTAGCCTTGAATAAATTTTACAATGTGTCCTTATGTAATTTACCTTGGCGTTGGTATAATGAAGTCCCAGCTTCTCTAGCACAGGTTGTATATACTTATCTACAAAATCTCTATGATCTCTTACCCAAGTCAAGATTTGTGTAAAATACCTTAAAAAGAGATGAACTTGAATAAATGTGTCGAATGAAATTGACATAACAGTGATATTACCATTCCGGCTTATCCAACCTATTGGTCTGTCTTGCTCCATAAAAATGGTAAATGAACCTCTTCCTCAAAGGTTGGACCAAAAAATGTATAGGTAAACATAAAGGAGGAAAGTCTGATAGTAATCCCGATGTTACAATCGGTGTGCTACTCTCACTTGGTAATTCTATTTGTAGCAAATATTCTGTTAATGTTTGTAGTTTCTGAATAAGATGTGGTAAGGGAATGACAAGGGAAAAATTCGCACTCACAAATGGCCACTTTATTGCAGCTAAAACCTCTCCAAAATCTCTAAAATAAAATCGTTGAGAACCATTAATATCTTCAGACGTAAAATTTAACTGGATCATTTGAGTGATTTATTTGTTAGGTTACTACAACATTTTTTATTCTTTGCTCAACATGTAGAAGAATAACATTGCATGTATGAAAGAACTATTGGATATTATGAAAAAACCTATATTATCTCAAGGATTTTTTTTCAAGAACACATTAAGTTGTAAGAACAAATTTCACTGGTACTGTTGATTTGCTTGAGCTCAGTAATATACTTTTCTAATGTGTACTATGCATTGGAAGGCATACTCTCCATAACAATGGTTTATTATTTCGAAAATGAAAATCTCTGGGACAAAATAAAGTTTGAAAGGAGAGATATATACCATGCAAAAAGACTATTAAAAAGAAATTTTGATGAAATATAAGAACTGCCTTATTAGATTGATGACCTTTTTACTTAAAAATAATAATTACTTGAAAATGATCTAATGAACAGAAACCGATCGTAACAAATAATTAATGTACTATAAATTAGATAAAAGTTATTTTCTTTATTCTATATTTATAAGAATTACAACACATTTATTTTTTGAAACTGATGCCATCAGCAGAATCACTACATAAATTCAGAGTAGTGGCACCGGGGAAGGGGGCTTTCTAAACAAGAAAAGAATGTCAGGGGTGCAAACGCGTTAACCAAAAATAATATCAGTCATTCATTAATTTTTAGTCATGACTAAATAGATCATCCTACAGATTCAAAGAATAATTTTAACATCTGGTTCTTTCTTCATATATATTTGTTTTTGTAAATTTAGTAATCTTAAGCTCTGCAGCAGGAATCACATTGTACCTATGACCTAAGACGCTATAGCAAAATCCTTATTAACATTTATTCAATTGAGAAAAAAAAATAATGCAGTCAAAAGAACCCTATAAAAATTAATAATACAGAGTGAAATTTTAAATTTATACACTATTGCAATACTTACTTAGCGAGTTTTTCTTTTAGAATATCATGCCAATAATGTATGTTTTCTTTTAAATGATCTTTCAAGTGGACACCGTCAAATTTTGTTAAGTTTCTACTTATTTCAGTCAAATTTGCAAAAAGTGTTGCACATTTTTCATCATCAGCTCTTCCTGCTTCTCTCTGTAGAGCTTCGCTGAAAATTGAAAAAACGAAGCATTCTTTTATAGCAGCTAGAATGTATTAGGCGGGAGAAATTTATATTGCAGCAACCTGCTTGGTTAAAACACATCCCTATGAGCGTACACTGGTGCAAAGAATATCAATTTGAAGCCTCAACATACTGGCCTCGAACCGACTGTGGAAGGTACTAAAATCTTTAGTAAGGAGCTATAAAGAGTATTAGAAACACAAATGGGAAAATCTTCACTAGGGTTACTTACTGGATACTGTCCATTTAGAGGACATCAGAACATATGGAGCTGTATACTGGAGACCTTAGCTACTGGCAGTTCAACAAAGAGACAGAAACATTTCGTCAACTTTAAGCAAATGAGAGGCACCGAATCACAGGTCAGCAATTTATGTGCAATCCAAATAATTTTCGAAAGAATATCATGACAGACATTTAGTAAAGAACATGCACAAACTAGATAGATAGACGTATCTGATCATGTTATGAGTAAATTACATTTATGTGTTCTAGAACAAAAACTCATTAATACCGTTAATTGTATGATTTTCACTATAGTGAAAGTCATATATTGAACGGTATTGATGAGTTTTAACCCATTAACGTCTAGCGTTAAGGTATGGTCACAAGTGTTTAAGCTTCCTGTAAAGGGTGCTGCGACTCTATTTTTTGGCCAGTTGGAGAGATGGCGCTGTGAGTCTCTTAAAAATAGTTCAACGTGTTGATTAGTTCATAACAGGTATAGACGACATTTGTACTAGGTGTTTTTGCTATTGTGTAAAAGTGCTATGGAGACAACCTTTGTGTAAGTATATACTTCGAGTTTTTTTATAAAACCGTTTCTAACTTTATTAGCTAATGAAAATTAATATCAAATATTGTATTAAGTTATTTTTCCATCGAAAATTGAGTTATGTTATATTAGCTACAGATGTATACATCAGCCTGTTACTGTATGGTAACGCTAGGCAGTTACACTAGCGATTTTTTTCAAATTGTTTTTTTTTTGTTATAGAAAGGGTTTCTCAGTTCAAGATGCCCTACAGATAGCTTATAGTGATAATATAGACGAAATATTTATTGAACCACCCGATCCGGACGTTTTGACAGACGTAGACTCCGGGGATGAAGATGGTAGTGGATTTATTGACAATTTATTTGGCAGACAACTTAGAGCTCAATGCGAAATAAAACTCCTGGACAACACCAGAGTTGGTGGGTGCAGTTCTGATGATGTGTCGCGAAGTTTTGGATCACTTCATGCTTCACCAAAAAATAGGTCTCCTTCGTCATCACAAAACAAAGTACCTTCGATAACACAAATTACTGTTGATGTAGAGGATTTTGACTGGGTCCAAGGCGATTTGCAATCAAATCACCAAATTTTTCCAACATGTGACTTCAAGCCATATCAACATTTAAGTCCTGTGGAATTATTAGAATTGTTTATCGATGAAGACATAATACAAATGATGATCGAGGAAACGTCTAGGTATGCCTTATTCAAAAACTTTCCCGATCCTAAAGTATCTGTAGAAGAAATGAAATGCTACATTGGCATACTTATTATTAGTGAGTATAATGATTTACCAGGAAAAAGGTTTTACTGGGACTCGAATAATGACATGAGAAATGAACTGGTTTACATGTCTATGTGCAGGGACCGATTTTTGCAAATTTCACGTTTTATTCATTTCGCTGATAATAATAAACCAGAGCTGTCTGAAAAAAGTGTGGAAAATGCGTCCACTAATGGACAAGATTAAGGAAAAATGTTTAGCTTATTTTGAGCCTGAAGAGCATCTATGTTATGCCGAATCAATGATTCGATATTTTGGAAAACACAGCTGCAAGCAGTTTATCCGAGGTAAACCAGTTCGTTTCGGCTATAAAATGTGGTGTATGAATACGGCTTCTGGTTACCTCATCAACTTTGAAATGTATCAGGGAAATAACCCCCGCCGCTCTCCTGAATATGAATTATTATTCAGTAAAGCATCAGCGCCCATGGTGAAAATGCTAGAAGAAATAGAAAGAGTAAAAGGTTTCCAACCATAAAAACTTATTTACAGGTGTAAAGCTCCTTAAATATTTACGAGATAAACGGTATCAAGGTACTGGAACTGTGCGTGAAAATAGATTGCCTAAGGGATGCTCTCTTACAGGAAAGAAGACCTTTAAGAAAAAACCGAGAGGTACTATCGAATCTATTCTTGATAAGGGAAATGGGATTTCATATGTTCACTGGGCTGATAATGTAGTTGTCACTTTGGCATCAACATGTTTTGGAGTACAACCAATGGGATCTGTGCGCCGATATTCAAGCGCCGAGAAAAAATTAGTTTAAATGCCTCAGCCATTTGTGATTGGAACTTATTATTCTTATATGGGTGGCGTTTGACCTTATGGATGAGAATATATCAAGATACCGCATTGGTATGAGGGGTAAAAAGTGGTGGTGGAGCATATTTACGTGGCTAATGGATGCATGTGTGCAGAATGCTTGGCAACTCCACAAGAAATCTGGAGGGACTCTTCCGCAACTGGAGTTTAGAAGGGAAATTGCGAAATATTATTTGAACTTTTTCGGAGTTCCACCAAAAGGTCCTGGTAAAGTTTCCACATGTTCAAGCTCAGTTTCCTTGAACAGGGTATCGGATGATATGCGTTATGATAAAAGGGATCATTCGGTTATTCAAGTTCGACAAAACAAACGGCGACGTTGTGCCGAAAGGGCTGTTCCGCAGTGTGGAGAACAATGTGCAAAAAATGCGAAGTGGGTGTTTGTATTGATTGTTTTTCTATATTTCATAAGAAGTAGATGTTAGGCTAAAATAACAGTTTTTGTTTTTTACTTAAAATAAATGACACTTAATAATTGTTCGTATTTTTTCTTCAAGTATTATAAATAGGTAGTTAAACCGCCCAGTGTTACCATATGGTCACATCTAATTTTGGCTACAGTAATAAAAATAAAAATTGCTGTTAATTCCTTACATTGCATCCTGAAAATCTAAAAATACTTCAGTTTACTTGAAAATGGTTTAAAAAATTGTAGTAGAAATCAGACGAAAGATATTTTTTTATTCTATATTCGAAAATGGGAGCAAGAAACATTCGGTTAAATCATTTGGAACTCATTCCAAAAACAATAAAATTTTCCAAAACATCAAAAGTACTTCAAATTCAAGATAAATGAAAGTTTATCTATTCTGATGATTACAAATATATATACCTTGCATCACACAAACATACCTTGTAACATTAGATATAGTAACTACAAAATAAAATAGAAATTTTTCTCAAAATTACCCTACTATAGCTTACCTTAGGCCTTCAATATGTTGTAGGACTCTCATATATTGTAAAGTACATTGCAATCTGGTTAATTTGTCAAAGTATCTTTTAATATTTCTTCTAACTTCTTCAACAGCTTCCAAATCTTCCTTTATTAACAACATTATATCTTTAGATCTAGTTATGACATCTTCAGCTTTTTCAACAACTTTCTCAGCATCCTTAATTGTTTTACCAATTATACAGTCAGTATTGGAAATTTCAATCTGAAATTTAAAGTTTACTAGCTTGTTTCACTTAAGGTATGTTCTATTCTGTTGTTGACAAAAACTCATACAACCACTAAATCATTTTTAATGGAGGTCACTAATTGAAATAGAAATTCAACTTTGAGAATTGCTCTTTTTTATGGTTTTTCATGAATATCTAGTTGAAATGAAAAAAAAAAAGATAGCAAGTGCTCATGAATATGTTGATTTTAACTATTGAACCAGCAGTTGGATGATTTTCAATAGTATGGAACCAATTATGGGACAGGTTTCATTTGAAAGTATGGATCTTGATATTTATTAGAAGAATTGTTTAAAAATCAATATGGATTCAGGAGGGAAAAACAACATAACAATTTGTGAAATTTAAAAGAGCTGAAGATGGTGTTTATTCCTCAACATCTTGAAGGTGTTTACTAAAATATTGCATTGTTTGTTTTTTCTCTTTAATTTTACAATATATTATTTAATGACGAGATGTCCTAATCTATTAAATTATGCTTTTTTGTTACCCAGCTATTTCACTCCTATGAATGACAACTCTCAGAGGTCGAAACATGTGCGAGCTACGGATTCATGAGGTCTTATCTTTCACCGTGCGATTCCTATTAAGTAAATAGACTCAAATATTTTTGGTTCCTACCTGGTTCTGAATTGAATTTTTTTCTCTAAAAAAATAATTTCGTAACTTGGTACATTTTTGAATATCCAATAACTCATCTCCATATTTTTCGTTCAACTCTTCAATAACTTTTCGTTTAATCTCAGTTGAAAATAACATTTTTTTTGGTATAGTAGTGAGTTGGCATAACCTGTAATAGAATGAAAAATTAATGTGATAATATTTGTTACAATTAGTACGTACCACTCATTGGGACGCCAAATTTTTCAATATTTTTTTTCTAGAAAATACTGAAAAAGCGACAACCTCCTAAAATATTTAGTTTGTACCTAATGACATTTATTTGAACCTTAAATTATTTGTGAGGTTAGAGCAGTGACGTCATAATGAATATGGATTGACCATTGAAAAGAGAACTTTGACTCCAACAACAAAAAAAGATGAAAAAATTCACGTCCTGGTATTTACGTCACTCTAACATTTAACGTCAGATATGTCACGATGTTTTACGTGTTGCATATTTCCATGTGAAAATTTTGGGGTTGGATTCGTCACATTCTGTAACGCAGTAATCAAGAAGTTGTATGATCAAAGAGTACACAACTACAGAGAGGCGAATGCATTGTCGGAACCTTTGATGTTCGTTGTACAAGATATACGTCACAGCACTGACAGAAATACTAGTTGATACACTGAGAAAAAAACCCAGGTAGTGATTCAAATGTGTACACTATGCACTACACTAAGAAAAATAATATTGTTAATTAATATCCGTTTTCGTTATGATAATATATTTTTGATAGACTGAATTGTTGACAAACTTTTACTATTGAATTTTGTAGGTATAATTTTTATTCAAATTCACTGATATTTCATCAGAAAACTTTCACTTTCATACAAAATCTTGATGTTTCCATTTATAGGATTCGAATCTCTGAATTATAACACGAAGAAAATAGATTCAGACACAAATATGCTATGCTATCAGAATTGCTATGAATTTAGTTGAAATGGCCACAATTAATTGATGAACAAAATATCAAACAAATGAAATTGAATTGAACAAAAAACGTTTTTCGATTTGTTTTTCAATCAAGTACATATATCAGAGGAACTTAAGTATTATATGAAGTTTGATGAAATATAATATCTTTTATTTTGATTGGTAATACTCTGTAGCCATTCGTTTAGTGTATTCATTGCCAAGTAGTCTAGCCTCACTGTTGATAGGCTGAAAAACATTTAAATTATGCTTCACCACTTCATTAGTTACGAATAATAAAGTAGCTTATTATTTATAATATACTCATAAGGTGATTGTCGATCAACACTAAAAAATTAAGCTGAACTTCGTTAAAGATCGGCCGGTGGTCTAACGGTCTACGGCGTTGTTATATATCCAATTAGGCTATTTCATTGCTGGTTCGAACCTGAAACGTAACGAATTATGGGAATATAAGTGTATTATTATAGAAGGGTGTAGGAAAAAACAAAGGAAACCTGTAAATAATTGAAAAAAACCAACATGTTTCTTGTATAATTTGTTTATTCATTAAATTGAAACAAGGCCATCCAACAGGTAGAAATCCAACGGCAAGACGGCAATTTCTGAGATTACGTTGACAATAATATTTTGGCTTGTACCAATTACATATACAATTTTTATTTCAAGAATTTTGGCTTATATAATATCTGGTAGTATAATCGATTCACGGTAAACACCAGAATAATAATTTAATGTACTCTCTGAGGCACAGAACACTCAAAAGTTCAGTATCGAAGTTCCGATATTTTCATAAAAGCTACTTCTTTGCCAGAGTCCGACATAGCCCTTCAATATCCATTTTTCAGTGTAAAATAAAGCGATGAATGAATGCGGATTTTTTCATAACAAAATTTATTTGGAACTATCTTTGCCCAAAATATTATCAGGTAATTAAATGTTACCCTGTATATTAATATTTCATGAAATGAAAACATTTTCAGATAATTATGTTATTTATTGCAAAAATCTAAATTGAATGACAGTAATTTTTCGTACAACAAAAAACAACTTCTACTTGTAATTGACGGTAGAATGAATAATGAATTTCTAACTTTTAAATCAGTATTCCAAATAGATGGTCTAGCTGGTATTTCAGTAATAAAAGTCTCTGTGTTAATTTTTCGCGGCGAAAACAACTAAACTCGTTTGATCACTGCAGTATTCGCCGCGACTGCCGCTCGACTCCGTGGCTCTGATTCATGTATTTGTTTTACTCGCCGGTCGCGCCCCAAGTCGCCTACGCGGTTCGCTTGGTACATTTCGCCGGTCGCCGTGGCTTCATAAGTACATTGCTATGCGTTTGTTTCAGTCGCTTCGCCGTTCGCACCGCGCGAATATTCGCATCGGCGAGTGTCCCGTGGCCAGGCTGTTAAAGTGAATACGGTGGCTGACGCATGATTAGGGTGTTTTTGGCTAAAAAATAACGAACAAGCAATGAGGTGCATAATTGATGCAAAAGTCATGAATTGTCCACAATACCGGTTGTTTTCTTCGTATTGCTTCACGCAAGCGGCGCATAACTTCAAGAAAATACCTACTCCTTATTGACCGTACGACCATGAGGCAAAAACTCTTGATATACTACGCCATGGTACTTAAAGAAAACAGTGAGCAAAACTTTGACATTTCATCAAACTTGAAGTGCTTTTTTGGTCTTGGCTCTTCCATTGTCATAACCATATACCTATGATACGATCACCAGTTATGACCCTTTCAAGCAAATCTGGATCGCGTTTACGTCATGAGTATCGTGAGCGATACTCATGCGATGGTTTTTTGATATGGCACGAGCCAACTGATATGCCGATTTTCTCAGTCATTTCTCTAATAGTGATTCGACAATGGGACGTTCAGTGTGAGCGACGTCATTCACATCTTCTCAACTTTTTGTTGAAAAGCTTGTACAACTTGTAATCATTTTTCTCACTCAGAGTACAATCACCGTATGCCATTGTCATCATTTCAAGTGTATTTGAACACTTAATTCCATTTTTCACACAAAATTTCATGCAAATTAATTGATAAATTTTTTTCGATAACAGAAAATCGCCGAAAACGCAGAACACTTCTAACTTTAAACATATGTTCGAGACGAGTATACCAACATAAAAAAACAATCTCTGATCAAATGTAAATAATCCGCGAAATTTGAAAATTCAGGTTATTTTTTGAACAGACCTAGTAAGACTTGAAACCATGATGACTGTATTGAAGCTCAAATTATTGCTCCACGAAGCTGCTTACAAATTAGTGTAATGAAGCTTACTAAAGAATTTTTGAAAAATATCAATTTCTTCTTCTAGTGATTTATGTATTTGGTCAACTGTGATTTGATGGAAGGTGTGAGTAATATTTTACATGTAGTACCGAGTTGTTGCTTCTTATACGACTTGAATTTTATTTATAGTTTTGTAATCTCAAAACAATGAACTACCTTTTGACATGAGCCACTTGTACTATACATTACATTCAATTTAACAATAAAACCTCCAACCTAGGTTCTCCATAAAGGAGTCATTATTCCCACTGGAATAAACTTGTTCAAAATGCAAAAACACATAAAAGAATTTGTTGCAATCCTCCTATAACGTCAGAATTTAATAAAACTTTCAAATATATTTGTATAACATATATTTACTATTAGTAGGAATAACTTAAATATATAGGTATAGGTAAATTATAGAGAAAGTAATAATGTAATATTGTTTCGAATTGGAAAAACAATAATACAATTACTCTGTTAATATGAGCGATTAACTTATAGGCTACATGACAAAGTCATTCTTGAAAGTTTTCTGAAATTTAAAAATTTCAGCAACACAAAAAATTGATTTATTATGGTATTGCATTACATGATTGATTGAGATACAATAATATTTGACACAAATAAGTTGAGATAAAAAAACATTCAAAAATGACCTGTCATAGTGCCTTTTAGGAAAAACTTCATCACAAAATATTTCAAATAAAAGAGGAAGGAATTTTGACAAAAAAAACATGCACATTTTGGGTGAATGCTTCATCTCAAAAAACCTACATCTATTTTTGTTTACACATGCACAAGTATATCAAATCAAAAAATAAGCTTCTCATCGAATATATCACTTTGCAGAAACTGTAAATTATTTATTAGTATTAATCTCAGACTCAATGTTAAGACTTTTTTTTATGAAAGGAAAAATTTTATTATATTAGTCTTGCACCAAAAACTCAATAAAATAAAATCACACTTTTTTTCTTCTTTTTTAAGGTAACTCGTTAAAATCAAATTCAGTAAAATTCGATACCTTCCAAAATATTGGCGAAATTTTAAAATTTTCATTGTATACTTCGATTTATGAATGATAAGGCGTAACATAAGTAGCAGGAAAGAGTCCCTTACGATGTCCTATTTCTCCTTGCCACCAATGTTGATCTGAACTGTCTGTTACAGTTATTACATCTCCTCTTTTGAACTCAAGCTCTCCCACTTCTTGAGGTGTGAAATCATATAGAGCTTGTACTAAACACTGAAACAGAAAAGTGAATAACTCAGGATATCATACGCAATGCACTATAGAGATTTTTCTTGGGGCCATTACTTTCTTCTATTTAGACAAATGGTCAGCCTACAGTATTATGAATCGCATGGAAAACTAAATCCCGTTAGAGGTACCTTTAATTCACACTTATTTCGACATGTGAGGATTACTTTTAGTAGTGAACAATAGTTTGTTGATATAAGGACCTAATGTCCTTATATAAGTAAAATTCTGTCTCAGAAGCAGTTCATCAGATCAAAAAGAGCTTCAAGGTTTCATTGGTTTATTTGTATCTGACACATTTGAGGAATTTTATTCAATGGCAATTTTCTATCCCTGAAATATCAAATATTTGCCTATAATACCTGTCAATTAAGAAATATTGTTATTGTGGTATTTACTTGTTTAAATAATTTAGTTGATACATATTCTTTTCAAGACTATTTACTGTGTACATGAAGAACTTTTAACAATCTTTGACAATTGATTATAATTTTGCTTTAATAAAGTTATCTGAAAGTACTTATTAATAGTCATTACAAATGACAATCTAATCGGAAATATTAAAGAACAAAGTAATACAATCATGAAATTATGAAACAACAAAAATTAATTGGCGCTCCGGGGCGACATCGATTCCTGTGGAAATTGCACACATATGAAATGAATTGGCACATCTGTAGGTATAACAAGGATTCGTGGTAATAATATATTTTTCTTGGCTTCCGACAACATGCCTCATTTATTTTTTATTGACTTCAGTTGGAAATTATGCGGTGGCATGCCTTTCAAATTCAGAGTTCAAACACTCTGTTGGATAATTCAGAGTTTTGGTGGCATCACGAACTGTATCTACGCTCGACAGATAAACAATAATAGTGATCGAAAACTGTGTAGAGAGTGAGAGAAGGCTTATTGTGCGAGAGAGGCAGGAGACCGGCTTCGTTGTCATTCCTACTCCGTGCTGTTTACTGGATGAGAAGTGACACCGGTAGACGCCTGGCAGGAATAACCAATCAAAATGATTTATTTACTAAAATGGCAATTTAAAAAAAAGGGTTGGTGATGTGTAAAAATTCAGAGTTATATGTATTTTCAATGCCACATCATGAAAAAACAGAAAATTTTAAAAAAAGTTTGGGATGGAGTACCTTTATCACTTAGGGGTATGAAAAATAGATTTAAACCTGTTCTCACTCACCGAATATATATATATATATATATATATATA